TCATCCAATATGAGAATCTTCAACCCACTCCTTGATGTAACCCTTGACATGGCAACATACAATTGACCATGAGTAAACACAAGTTTTGGAAGATATATGTCCCTTTGATCCACTGATTGTCCTTGACTTTTATTTATCGTCATGGCAAATAAACGACGATTGGGATCCGAATAGCCTACGTTGAAATTTAAAAGGAATTCTTCTATCTGACGGGACCAGCGATAGTCGCGGAATCAAAACCTTTTGGCCAATACTTTTGTCAGATATAACCTTCACCTCTAAAACAAATTTACCTAACCGAGTAATGATCAGGCGCATTCCATTACATAAGCCAGAGTGCTGGTCAATGTTTCTCATTAACATAACAGGCACACCAACCTTTAGTCCCAATTTATGGTTCGGTATCCCTGATGCATTGATGGTGTTCAAAAACTCTTGAGTATGCACTTCGTCGGATTCAGCGCCATGGGTTGAGCTTTCAGGTGAGGATGGACTGTCAAAACTCAAATATGTCTTCATTTCTCCAGGCATCAATGAAATCATATAATTATTGATAAGATTTACAACATCATTTGTGGGTGTCAAAATAGCTCTTTGCTGAAAATAGGTTGGATCAGCCATATTCTCCAAAAATGAAGGATAAATGCTAACAACAATTGAAGCAATGGGATCACCTGAAGTGGTAATAAGCATATCACCAGGTATATCAATGAACGCCTCTCCATCTCTGACATCCCCAATATTTCCATCTCCTATTTTGAGCACCAAATCTGAGAAACTCTTCAATTCGTCAACATTACAATGTGAAGAACCACATTGCACCCTCATGTTTTTTGTTAAAGTGAGAACATGACAATGTCTCCAAATATACGAGGCATTAATAGTAGCACGGACAACCTCTTGCCTTGATGCCTTCGGTATGACGGGGAGTATTTGTCTGAAATCACCACCAAAAACGACAACTTTTCCACCAAATGGAAGATTCAAACTATCGCGATTGTGAAATATGAGCAAATCCTTTAATGTCCTATCAACAACTTCAAAGCAATGTTTGTGTGTCATCAGAGCTTCATCCCATATAATAAGTTTCGCTTTGATTATTAGCTCAGCTAGATGACTTCCCTGTTTTATATTGCAAGTGGAGTCTTCATTGACATTAATAGGGATGGCAAATCGAGAATGAGTTGTTCGCCCACCAGGAATAAGCAATGATGTTATTGCACTGGATGCTGCTGTCAACACAATTTCACCTTTGGATCTTATGCATGCAGATATCGCCCTCCATATGTAAGTTTTACCTGTTCTGCCATATCCATACAGGAAAAACACGCCACCGCGATTTTCAGTAACACATTGCATGATGGTCTCATATATATTCTTCTGTTCAGAAGTCATGGTTGACTTTAGATGCAAGTGTTCAGAAGCCATAGATGCTCTATCATAGTACAACTCATCATGGAGAAGTCTATTTTGCTCTATCATGACTTGTCAGGACGTGGCATGGGTGGGAACTCCATCAAAGTTTTTCCATTCTTCGGCAAAAACTTCTCCATCTCGACCATAGTAAAACTCTTCAATTCATCATTAAATAGAATCAGATCTGTCAAAAAAATATAAATAGTTCTATACACTTGCATAAAGGATTTTACTATTACTATTAGCAAGTGCAACTAATGTATGTTTATGTAACAATATTTATTATAACATTAATAAAAATAGTAATATACTTACCATGAAATTGTAGAAGTAATCTCTGCTTGTGCCAAACCACGTGTGGCGTACACCTTTGGTTAGACAACATTAATACAACAAAAAGAACCTCAAATACTCCCCAGTTCCCAAAAAACGTGATTCTGTGATAGCATCGATGTATTCTTTATCATCACATAGCAATCCAAACGCATTACACGCGTCTTTGAATGTGGGATACACAATATTGTCAATGGTTCGTATTTCAACAAATGATCTTGGTCCCATGACATGGTTCAACAATGTCCCATGACATGGTTCAACAATTTACGCAAGTAGTACAATTCACCTGTTGCTGGAGGCACGAAATGCAATCTCCCAACCGTGTCTCCCCCTTTCGTATGAATCCACTCATGTCTAGTTTGCTTCCGCACAAACTTTGAAGGGAACTGAGCGTAAGTTAGGCCTCTTGCTTCAGGGTACTTTGCATTTGCATCCAACCACGCAAGAAATTTTGTTTTCTTGTGCGCTTGAGCATCCAATACCTCTTGAAGGGAATCACCTTCGTCGAATATCACATGTTGTTCGCCGGGCAGGTGAAATGTTAGTCTCTCAACAGAAGGTTCTCTATAATTTATGTCAAAGGCAAAAAGTCTCCATGCGGCCTCACACGATGACAAATATCGACAATCATTATACAACTTTATTTCATCCACGGGTTCCGAATTAGCTTGATGAGGTGCATCATTATAAAAACCCGCGGTGACGCGATCCTGACCCTTATTCACATATTTGAATAGATACTTGATGGAGTGGGACTGGTTACACCATTCTACATTTATATGAGCATTATATTTCATAAGGAGATGATGGTTGTAAGGGATGACGAAGCGATTGTCAATGACATTGTCTCCCTTTTGTATAACACGGCCATTTTCTCTCCTCATGTACAATGGATAACCGTCTTCATCGATACTCGTCCGCTCAGCATACTTTTTCGTAAGTGTCTTATGCATTTACCGTTTTGCATGCACAGGGATTTCTTATTCTGCAACCCACACGGACCATGGACCATTAGATTTGACACAATCTTTAGCAATTCGGGGTCACTATCTTCATCCGGTATATGAATGGTTGATAATGGGAAAGATCATAATATTTTTATTTATCCATAGATAATTTTAGAGTACAAGAGACTAATGAAAAGAGAAGTTGCTTGTGGAGAATCTGCCCTCCAAATGCAAGCAGGACACCACTCGTATAGGTTGAGGGGGTAGGCCCCTAAATACAAAAAACATTTATGCATAAATGCGCTATACGCTAAGAAATTTATGACTTCTTCATAAAGACCGTTAAAACTATATCACTTAATTCTGAGTTTAGTCTTCTCAGAGGTACCAAGCCAAGGTCTAGGCTCTATTAATCTGTGATGATCGAAGCCTAGGAACTGATTGATCAAACCATGGATAATTATATAGTACATGAGAACTGTATACTACTTTCATTTTATATATTATAAATTAACGAGTCACACTATTTTTCCTATAGTAACTATGCATAACAAATTATCAACAATACCCTTATTTATATTTACACATATGACAATTAAACATGAAAACTGTATACTACTTTTATTTGTTATATTATAAATTAATGAGTCCATGTCTTTCACTTTATTCATTTTTGGTACTTGGCTGATTTTTCCGGACCATTTGTGATCTTTCTGTCCAATATTTTAATGCTTCTCCAGCAATTTTAATCACTGAAGATATGGCATAAAGGGCCATATATAGGTGATAAACAATAGTCATGTATAGTGGCGGCCGCAAGAATTCGAGAGAGAGGCGGTAGTGTAAAAAAATACATACAAATACACGTATAATAAAATTGTGAAAATTGTTATTTATAAGACCAAAAGCTACCGTCTTTACAAAAAGAGGACTCAGGTATCCTTTTTCCATCCGTATGATTTATATAGTCTTACTCTAGGAAACATTATTATTGCTTTACATTTTTACCCTGCTTCACTGCAGGCCAATCACGAAGAAGACTCACCAGAGCAATTGACTCACCTTACACCTTTTAACGATTTCAATTAATTGCACCTCTTCGTTGCAGGCTACAATTGAGTTCACCGCCGTTCATTGCCGCTAGAGAGGTCGTCGTCTGTCATCGTCGGAACCCTAAACACACAGAAAGGCCAAAAATCAATTCCGCAGCAATCACAGCCATGGGGAACTACTCATACCTTTCCTATTCGGATTCCAGTGACTCCTCCCCTATTTCCTCTATTTCCGTGAAATCAAGTTCAATATCCTCCCTGGGATGATGCTAACAAGCCCCCTCCCAATTTCAAGGCCAAGTTCAATGTCCTCCCAATTTTACGTTATCTGCTTTGTTATTGAGCTATTATCAGAACTTATTGTCTATTTAATGACTACTTCTTGTCTATGTATTATCTGCTATTGAGCTATTATTAGAATTTATTGTCTGTTTAGTGACTACTTATTGTCTATGTATCGTCTAGTGTTTGCAAGCTTGATTTTGGATATGATTTCTTCAAAAGTTTTGCAGAGTACCTCATGGCCTTGTGAAAGTGTGAAACTATGAAATAGAAGTTCGAAATCGGCAATATCAATGTCCAAAATAAAAAAGAAGAAGAAGATTGAAGAAGGAGCTTGAAGAAAATTGACAAACCCGTCGTCAGTTGCTACCGGATCGCCGACGGTCAGAGGTGATAAAATAATTCACCCTCCATGCTTGTACACTGCGTCGACGCGTCGCAGATGGGATTGGAGAAAAATTGAAACAAAGCTACTGTAGAATGGAAGGAAAGAAGGTTCGTTTACTCCCAGATCTATTCTTCCGTTAAGTCTTTCGATTAGGCTTGGACCCGGTTGTCATGTTTCCGGCCAAATCGTTCAGCAAGATCAAGATTTCATGCGACATAAGGGAAGAAAAGGGCACTGGCAGTCTGGTCGGTTCTATGCCAGGGAAGGAAGATGGGTTGGAATAGTCCAGACCCGGGCCAGGAGAGCAAATATCTTAGTGGGCTAATTGGGTTACTTTAATATTGGCAGCAGCCCATTATATAATTTACATATAATAATCTGTGTGTAATGGATAAGGACTTTATCTTTTCAAACATATAAATATGTATGGAACGTAACTTTGCAGACAGGAAAAAGTATGATCTAAATCTCTTTCTCTCAAATTCTCTCTCCCTCTCTCTATTTTTCCTGCAAAAAGTTCTTATTTTTCTGTATTGCTATTGCGATCATCACATCTGGTATCAGAGCCCTTCTGATCCAGGAAGATGGCAGAAGGAACCAGACTAAAAGAGTGCTTGGAAGGGCAAAAACGAATAGAGCAGTCCTTGCTGGCGGAGATCCTCAAACGGGAAGCTGCAGAAATAAGGCAGGGGGAGCTTCAAGAAAAAAATCAGGAGGTTCAAGCTGAAATCCTCAAACAGTTGGAGAATATACAAAGGAGGATGGAGACAATGGAAATGAAGACAGATCCCCATATTTCTTCAAGCTCATCTCAGGGGAAGTACAGATCTGGGGAGGATGATCAAAACAGAAACCCTTTCGCAGAAGGAGCATCTATTCTGGGGGAGCCGCCATACGCCTTGGGCCTGCATAACCTGTACACAGAGAGATCTAATCAGAAGCTTAAAAATCATGAACATACTGGTAATTACCACTCACAACTTCCTTTCCCAAAACTTGACTTCCCTAAATTTGATGGATCCAATGCACGTTCCTGGATTATCAAATGTCAAGGCTACTTTAAGCTAATGCCCCACATTCATTCCGATCAAAGGGTCACATTAGCCACTATGCATTTTGAGGGCAAGGCTTTGTCATGGTATCAACACCTGGACAAAGACATTACAGTGTTATCATGGGATCAATTTCTAGGGGTAATATCATCTCGATTTGAAGGCTTAAAGGCATCTACTGTCATTGAAGATTTTAATAAACTCAAAATGGGAAATGATTATGAAAATTATGTGGAGAAGTTTGAAGAACTAAAATCATGTATGATATTACTGCACAAGGAAACCTTTCCAGAACCGTATTTCATATCTAGTTTTATCAGCGGGCTTACCGAAGAGCTAAAGGCTTTTGTTAAACTGTTCAAACCTAGCACTTTGGATGGTACCATTGATTTGGTAAGAAATCAGCTGATGACCTTGGAAACCATCACTAAGAGGCTTAGGGTGGGTGGAAAATCAGTTTATGGGACTCCTATACCTGCTAAAAGGATGGATGCTACTCTGAATTTCCAGAAGATGACAAGAGATGGACCAAGCAATACTGCACCACCTTTTAGATTGCTTTCACCTGCTGAAATGGCAGTCAAAAGAGAGAAGGGGTTATGTTTTAACTGTGATGAAAAGTTTGCCCCAGGTCATAGATGTAAGCATAGACATGTTTATGTTTTATTAGCAGGGGATGCACCAGAGTATGCCGATACAGAAGAACAGCCAGAAGAAAATGAGGGTGGAAACATAGAAGAGGTACTTTTAACACTCGATACTAACAACCATAAAAAGAGATCGACTACCATGACACTGTGGGGGAAATTGGGAAAGCATAAAGTACATATACTGCTTGATTCAGGGGCTTCCTTAAGCTTTATCAGTCAGGAGGCAGTTCAGAAATTTGGCTGCAAGGAGGAAGGGACAACTCCTTTGAAAGTTACCACTGCAGGGGGAAATCAGTTATGCAGTAGCACCAAAGTGGCCAACCTGGTTTGGGAAATGCAACATCACACCTTCAACTATACCCTTAGAGTTCTGGACATAAAAGAATTTGATTTAATATTAGGGGGGGGGGGGGGATTGGCTTAGAGACCTTACACCTGTGCAATTTGATTATAAGAAAATGAGTGTCACAGTTACCTCGGGTGATGTTCAGATTGAGTTGTTGTGCGAGGACAAGTGCCCTTTAATCACCTGTCACACACTATATAAGTTGTTACATGAGGAAACTCCAAGCCCTATTGAAGAAGTGTACTGGATCAAGGTGAAAGAACCTGGAAGAGATCCTTCTCACGAATTGGGGGAAATTTTGGAAGGGTTTACAGATGTTTTTGAAAAACCAGATTCCCTTCCCCCACCCCGGGGTATTGAACATCAGATAGTGCTCAAGCCTGGAAGCATTCCCAAACAACAGTACCCTTATAGGGTCTCACACAGTCAAAAAGATGAAATAGAGAAAATTGTGGCTGAATTACTAGAGTCAGGGGAAATACAACCCAGCAAGAGCCCTTTTTCCTCACCTGTCCTACTAGTGAAGAAAAAAGATGGCAGCTGGAGAATGTGTGTGGATTACCGATACCTTAACAGCCTTACCATTAAGCATGATTTTCCTATTCCTATTATTGATGAGCTACTAGATGAGCTAAAGGGAGCCAAGTATTTCTCAAAGATAGACCTCAGATCTGGGTATTTCCAAATCCTAATGTCCCCGGAGCACCGGTACCTCACAGCATTCAGAACCCATCACGGGCACTATGAATTCCTAGTCATGCCCTTTGGGTTGTGCAATGCCCCAGCCACGTTTCAATCCTTGATGAACCAGGTTTTTAAGGGACTGTTGAGGAAATCAGTGCTAGTATTCTTTGACGATATACTAATCTACAGCCCTAACTGGAAACAGCACATTCAGGACCTTAAGAGTGTTTTGGAAATATTAAGGAGTCACAAGTTATATGCAAAAAAGAGTAAATGTACTTTTGGGCAGGAGTCGGTTTCTTACTTGGGACACATAATTAAACAGGATGGAGTAACTACCGACCCAGAAAAGATTGAAGGAATGGTTAACTGGCCTACACCGACTTCCTTAAAGGAATTGAGGGGGTTCCTAGGACTGACAGGGTACTATAGAAAATTCGTAAAAGGGTATGGGATCATTAGTAGGCCCTTAACATCATTACTGAAGAAAGGGGCTTTTCAATGGAATCCTGAAGCAGATCAGGCTTTCAAGGAACTGAAGATTGCCATGACTACTACGCCAGTTCTAGCACTTCCAGATTTTACTAAACCATTCATTATTGAAACAGATGCTAGTGGAAGTGGAATCGGGGCAGTTTAATGCAGGAAGGGAGACCCTTGGCTTTTCTAAGCAAGAAGTTGGGAGTGAGACACATGGGCCTTTCTATCTATGAAAAAGAATTTTTGGTTGTGCTCATGGCTATTCAAAGATGGAGACACTATCTGCAAGGCCACAAATTTATCATCAAGACAGATCAGCAAGCCCTGAAATACCTACTTGACCAGAGGATCACTACACCCTTACAACAAAAATGGATAACTAAGCTTTTAGGATTGAACTATGACATACAATACAAAAAGGGGGTCGAGAATAAGGTGGCAGATGCCCTATCAAGAAAGGAACTGGACAAGGAAGGATGTTACTCCCTTTCTACAGTTAAACCGGTCTGGGTACAGCAGGTCCTGGAAAGTTATGACAAGGATCCTTTTTTCTCTCAAATAATTAAGGAAAAACTAGAAGATCCTGTTTCACATCCAGATTTTGAGATTTTTGATGGCATTTTGAGATATCAGGGAAGGCTGGTCATTGGTAGTAATACTGAGCTCAGGCATACTATCTACAAAGAACTGCATGCATCCGCAGTAGGTGGACATTCGGGCATACAAGGAACCTATATGAGGATTAAGAGGGTATTCTACTGGCCAAGAATGAAGAACAATATTATCCTCTGGATAAAAGAATGTGAGGTGTGTGCCAAGACTAAACCTGACGGGGTACCTTACCCCGGGCTGTTACAACCTCTGCCCATTCCCGACCAAGCTTGGAGCCACATAAGCATGGACTTCATTGAAGGACTCCCTAAATCTCAGGGCAAAGATGTTATCCTAGTGGTTGTTGATAGGCTCACTAAATATGGACACTTCTTGCCCTTGTCTCATCCCTATACAGCCCACACAGTAGCAAAGATGTTCCTTGACAATGTGTACAAGCTACATGGCCAACCTATAGATATACTATCTGACAGAGATGCAGTATTTTTAAGTGGCTTCTGGAAGGAATTATTCAAGCTCATGGGAACTCATTTAAGCTATACTTCAGCTTATCACCCCCAAACAGACGGACAAACAGAGAGATTAAACCAGTGTTTGGAGGCTTACCTTAGGGCTATGACCCACCAAAATCCCAGGCAGTGGGTACAGTGGCTATCCCTAGCTGAGTACTGGTATAACACCAATTACCACTCCAGTACTAAAACTACCCCATTTGAGGCCTTATATGGACACACACACCCGACCTTATCCATACCCACACCTTCTGCCCTAACTAATATAGAGGTGAGGGAGCTTATAAACCACAGACAAAGGCTGAAACAGGAGCTGAAAGAAAATCTCAAATTAGCTCAAGAGAGGATGAAATATTTTGCAGACAACAGACGGGTTGACCGTGAGTTTGAGGTGGGGGACCGAGTTTACCTGAAATTGCAACCATACAGACAACATTCAGTATTCCTGAGGAGAAACCAGAAATTAGCAGCACGTTACTACGGACCTTATACCATACTTGAAAGAATTGGGAGAGTTGCTTACAGGCTAGACTTACCTGAAGATACCAAAATACACCCTGTTTTCCACGTTTCCCTTTTGAAGCGTTGTATCAGTCCGAGAGCAGAGGTGTCGACTACCATACCTCCGGTTGATAAAGATGGGTGCTTTATCATTACTTCAGCCTCTGTGAAGGGAATTTGCAGGGATCCCACTGGAACTGCTAGGGTAACTTTACTCCTAGCCCTAAAAGCAGATGGAGGAATTATGGAAGGTTGGGTATCTAAGGCTAATTTCAGGAAAATGTTTCCAAAGATTGATCCTTGGGGTCAAGGATCGCTGAAAGGAGGGGGTATTGTCATGTTTCCGGCCAAATCGTTCAGCAAGATCAAGATTTCATGCGACATAAGGGAAGAAAAGGGCACTGGCAGTCTGGTCGGTTCTATGCCAGGGAAGGAAGATGGGTTGGAATAGTCCAGACCCGGGCCAGGAGAGCAAATATCTTAGTGGGCTAATTGGGTTACTTTAATATTGGCAGCAGCCCATTATATAATTTACATATAATAATCTGTGTGTAATGGATAAGGACTTTATCTTTTCAAACATATAAATATGTATGGAACGTAACTTTGCAGACAGGAAAAAGTATGATCTAAATCTCTTTCTCTCAAATTCTCTCTCCCTCTCTCTATTTTTCCTGCAAAAAGTTCTTATTTTTCTGTATTGCTATTGCGATCATCACACCGGTTCGGGCCACCCAGCCCGGGAACCGGCCCGGCCCGGTACTGTTTGGGCCCGGCCCGGGAACCGGGTACCGGTACCGGGTCTAGGCCCGATTTAAAGGGGAAACCGGGGGCGGGTGCGATTTAGGGAATTGAGAACCGGCCAGGCCAGTTCCGGGCCAGGTTTGGGCCTTTTTCAATTTTTTTTTTTTGTTTTTTTTTTGTTTGGGACTTTGGGTTGGGTTTAAATGGGCTGCAATAGGTGTTTCAGATGGGTTTGTGGGATGGGGGATGGGGGGTAGGGGATAAAATAATCAAGAAAACAAAAAAAAAACACAAAATTAGAACCGGACCCGGACCGGCACCGGTCAACTACCTTGCCGGTCCCGGTTCTCACATAAACTTTTTTGGGCCCGGCCGGGCCTAGGCCCGACCCGGAACCTGGCCCGGTTCAGTCCATGACTACTTTTGATGTGGTCTGCTACAGAAATTAAACGCAAGGGTAATTAGGTCAAAGGACGTGTACTTAAGTCTTACGCTAATGTGTGGTCCTACTTTTGAAAAATTAGTATGATTAAATCCTACTTGTTGAAATCTCCCAATAAAATTTTGAAGTAATTATATCTAGTACTACGTAGAAAAGTAGAACAAAAAATTAGGAGGTAACCCCCACTTGCCTTGTAACACTGTCCTCAATTATATTTACTTTTAAGTAAATAATGTATTGAACCTTATGGAATGGTTAATGAATTTACGAAGTTGTAAACTTTTATTATTTCTTTCGCGTGAATAGTATATTGCACGTGGGACCCGCATGGGGAGCGGGGGCCACCGAATAATCCCGAAACCATATATTCTATTCATCTTGGTCTAGATAATAATTATATGGTGATGTATATTGTATTTGGGCTATAGAAGGGCCCAGGGTTAGCCGATTTGGTAAAAAACGGCCCAATTACCAGTACCGACAATGTATTAAATAACAGGCCGAAAATGAATTTCGGAGACTTCTAAATTAAAGTTTGTAATATATATTATTTCAAAGTGTGTTTATGGTTGAGAGTAAGTAGTATATTTTATTTGACCCGATAAAATAAAATATATTTAAAACAGTCCAAAAATACAACTTTCGATGCCGATTGTACACTTCAGGACTTAAAGGGATGACCTCCCACATGTGTGGGGCCAACCCACGAAATTATACACTCAAGACAAGGTCTTGGACAGCTGGAATGAAAGAAGGAAAGGGGGGTTGTTTGGGTTTGAGTTGAAAAGCATCTAAGGACAAAGGTGGGTCTCCCATCCCACACTTATGTGTCTATTAAGACAAAAGTGATGTCTACACCCCTCCTCCCATCATTTTCGGCCTAAGCATCACAAGGAGAGAAATCTCTTCAAAATCTCATCCTCCATAGCCAAGGACCGAGCTCAAACTCATGGGGTTCAAGGAGGAAGATTAAAGAGGGAAAAAGTTGGGAAAAGTGTGAATAATTAAGGTAATGATCTTATATTAACTTTTCATCCATTCATTAACTACCATATAACTTACATAGCATTTGAGGAACCCTTTTAGTAGCTCTACATATTTATAAATGTAAAAAGAAGGGTCGAGAGGTGGTTCTATGTCCAAGAACGGACTTAGGAGCCAAAACGACTGGTTCGCCGGAAAATAACCTTTTAGAGGTTATTTGTATTAATATGGGTTTTATGATTATAAAACCTTGTTAGGCACTTGTAAAAGGTATTTCAAGAGCTTTCACAAAGTTGAAAGAGTTGACAGAGTTCATCAAAAGTCGTCGGAGTTTCGCCGAAGTTCAACCAAGAAGGGTAGAACTTCATAGCGCTAATTCGAGTGGACGGCTTAATATCTTATAACTTTTGGGTTAATTATGAGATTACATAAATAAATGTTATATATTCATAATGATGTTTAAAATATATTTAAACATGTGATTAGTCAACATGGTTAAGTTTGTATGAAATGAATTAATTGTTTATGCATGAAATATGATATGAGGGAATATATAAAAGTGCATATTTGTTTGAGGTGTAAGAGAAGCACAAATGAAAACTATTAACTTAATATATGTGATGTTTGAGTTGATATGTATAAGACTTGGAAAGACGGTCAACGTTTGGTATTAGTTAATTAATTATAAATTTATATAAGTGCATGGCTTTGCATGGATTGAGATACATAAGCTTTATGGATTGATTTAGCTATGAGTAAATAAATATGATATAGACTCTATCTAGGTTGATATGAGGTTGATCATAGGATTATAAATTGGTGGAGGACCCTAGGACTAAAAGTCCTTAACACTCGGATTATAAATTGGTGGAGAACCCTAGGACTAAAAGTCCTTAACACTCGGATTATAAATTGGTGGAGGACCATAGGACTAAAAGTCCTTAACACTCGGATCATAAATTGGTGGAGGACCCTAGGACTAAAAGTCCTTAACACTCGGATTATAAATTGGTGGAGGGCCCTAGGACTAAAAGTCCTTAACACTCGGATTATAAATTGGTGGAGTACCCAAGGATTATGTTATCCTCAAAACTCATAGATTATGATATTGAAATATGGACAAGGAGGAGTCCTATACAGTCATGGGTATATGGGTGGGTTGGGGTTTTTAGTCAAGAATATTGATCTTTGCTATTTTCCCAAACAAAACGGTGATCTACGAATCGGGTATTTTCCAAGTGTATAAATACTAATAAGTATTTCTTAACTTGGGGGAAAAAGACTATTTATATAAGTATCACCCTATGTTTGGGTCTTATACTTAAAACGCTAGTTATTCTATATATATTTGGCCTGCTACTCATTCGGTACTTGTACTGACCCCTTCAGTGGGGGCACCATTTTCAAGTTGAAACTAGGGCTTGTTACCTGCACCTTTCTACGGGTGACATCAAATCAAGGAAGACATGGTTCATGCTTCCTTATTTTCTCTCAAAGTACCAAACATTGCTCATGGATATTTTTATTTATTATAAACTACTTTTGGGCTTGCATGCCCGTGTTGTTGGCCGAATGTGGCTTATGAATTACTGTTGAATATTTCCGCTATTCATTGGTTTAAATGTGAAATTGTTATGTATGTTTACTACTGAGTATGGATGAATTATTTTCTCGAACGCCTTGTATAATTAAGTGAGGTTGACTCGCGGGTGACGTCACTTGATTATACGGCGGTTGTACAGGCGCTTAGATTGCGGTCTGGGGCGTGACATGCCCCCCTTTGTGTCTGCCGTTGATCAAGTACCAAAAGTGATGAAAGTCAAAGATGTGCAATACTTCTACAACCAAAAGTGGGATTTATTCTTTCAGAAATATTTATTCTAATGAATTTGATATTAAGCTATTAATCATATATAGGGCATCCAAATGAAACCTAATTACTAATTTCAAATATCATTGTCCTATTCAATTCACGAGATTATAATCACACAAATTAAGCATTACATCTACAAGTTAGGGGTGGACTCGGGCCAGGCGGCCCGCCCCGGAACCGGCCCGGCCCGGTCACAGTTTGAACCGGCCCGAACCGCCAGCCCGACCAGGGACCGGTCCAGGTAGGCCCGACCCGTTGGGGTTCCGGGCCGGGCTCGGGCCCCTCAAACGGTGAACCGGCCCGGCCGGTCCGGGCCAATTTATTTTACTTTTTTTTTTGAAACTTTTTTAAGTTTTTGGGTTGGGCTGGGTATTTTGGGTCATTTGAGGTGGTTTGGGGGTGAGGGGGAGGGTTGGGGATTAATTAGGAAAAGCCAAAAAAAAATTAAATTGAACCGAGGCCCGGCCCGGGGGTTACCCGGGCCGGTTCCGGGCCTCCCCTTTCATGAACCGAGGCCCGGCCGGGCCCAGACCCGAACCGGCCCGAGTCCACCCCTGCTACAAGTAAAACTCTATTGAATTAAATATATTTGAACACATTCTTAAACACATATGAGTATCTATGTGTTATTGGAGGGGATAGCAGACATGAATGTGGTTGCTCTTAGGGCTGGGACTTAGAACCGAAAACCGGGAAAACCGATCCGAACCGAACCGAAATTTCCGGTTCGGTTCGGTTCCTATAGTCTTTCATCGGTTCGGTTCCGGTTCCTGACCAGGAACCGAACTTCTCATACACTGCAGGAGTAATCTTCATTTGAGGTGTTTCCGGGTGGAATTTTTTGATGAAATTTTGTGAGGTTGTTTTCTATTAAATAAAGATTATATCCACCAAATTTGAGCTTAAAATGCAATCGGGAAGTTAGTTAAATAAATTATTGAAAAACATTATGGCAAAATATATAAAAAACGCAATTTTTTCAATATTTTATTTAACTCACTTCCCGATTGAATTTTAAGCTGAAATTTGGTATATGTAATCTACATTTCATGTAGAACATGCTCACAAAACTTTATGAAAAAAATCTTCACGGAAGTACCTCAAATGAAGGTGGTCAGACGGCCTTTCGGGCAAAAAGTTCTTGTCAAGAATATTATTCTTGCATAATATACCTTATATATTGTGGACCACGCCAATCCGAGTAGTTATCATTTTAATACTTTAGTCCATTTTTATATTTTTTTTGTTTGTATTTGAATTTGTTATTGGAGTTCACTACAAAAAAAGAATTAACATTCTGTTGATTACAATGTTTATTACTACGTAGTTTTTACTTATTGTGCATTACTAGAAGAAGAATATTATTTTGGGGTTGAACTACCTGCTATTGGATGTGTACTCTGGGGCTATTGAAGCTTTTTGCTTGACAGATGATGCCTATTTGAAATCGAGATTTTTGTTATGTTTAAATTTAATGTTTTACTTGGATATGTCTTTGGATATTTGAACATTGAGATATCATGCATTTATAATGTAATGGTCTTAATTTCGTGATTTAAAATTTGATTTTTTTTATGTAACTGAAGTGTGTTCATTTCAGAGGATAGTAAATTTTTGTTAGGAACCGAAAAAAGAACCGAACCAAACCGAATTTAACTAGAACCGAACCGAATTTAACAACTACATTTTTAACTAGAACCGAACCGAATTTAACGCATACGATTTTTATACGGTTCCATCGAATTTTAACAAGAACCGATCCCAGGCCTAGTTACTCTACTCTCTCATAATGTGAAGAAGTGGAAACACTTCTCGAATTAATATCTATATACACATATTGATATATATTTTCAATGATGATGACATACATATATGGTCAGATTTAATACATCGGAATCAATTTCATACACCTCCTTCAGAACAACTACTAGTATTATACTACCGAAATTCTGAATCTTTGGGAACTATATGGCCGGAGTGGGCCGGCAGACCCGTTTTTGTGTAGGTCTAAACAGAATCCATTCCAAAGAGTTATTACACTTCTGATCAGAGAAAACGAAGTGTGCTACTCGGTGCCTAAATGGGAGAATCTGAATTCAAACTCTTCTGGCGAAAAGAGGAGATCCAAAGCTCAATTAGGGTTGTTGACTTGTTGAGTAAAATATGCAAGATTATAAGAAGTCAATGATGGGTTCGCCAATGGTGAGATTCCTCTCAAGGTTCCAGGGAAGGTTGAAGACTCTGGCCATTATAAACTTAAAGATCTTATTGACATTGATGTTATGGGTTGCGCTTGAGAAGAATAAGGTTGCCTTCATCACCTTAGCATATGCTCTTGCCTGCCAAGTTCCAACATTAATTAATAAATAAATAACATCATCCATCAATGTTATAAATGTTTCAGATTCTATTTCCTAGACCAAATCAAATCAGGTCAAAAGGCACAAGAATAGATGTAATCAGACTATTGATGAAGGATTCTGGTGGACATACTATGCTCTACTAACATTGTGACATGAAAAATTGGTGCGGTTATTGAAAAAGTAAGAACGATTTAGAAGCACACAAATTTTACCAAATTTGGTATGATGCAAGCTTTGTGGGGCGGATTGAAAAGGATAGATGAGACAATCTTAACGGGATGAAAAGAGTACCAAATAATGAGGAAATCATAGCCCAGACAAATACAAACCCAACTAGACTAATTTAAATCCAAAAAGAACCAGGTCATACTAGTTCAGGTCAGGTTTGAATTCTTTCTGTGTTTGTATACTACTTGGTACTTTTGTATCTAGTCCAGGTGAAATTGTATTTTGTATACTACTACGTAGTTTTGAAACTTCGTCATAAGCGGCTTTTAATTTAAGGCCATTTTCTTAATCATTACTATATGCATCTCGTTTAGATTACTCTAAACGGGATTGCACGTTGAATCTTTGCATCCCATTTAGAATACTCTAAGGGCTCGTTTGGCAGTTTACACATTAAATCTTTGCACGAGAAATGATTGCATGCAAAGTTTAGGAAAGTAATCATTTCACATGTAAAATAGATTACATAGTTTGGCTAGATGTATAACTTAATTTTTAGTTTGCACGGAAAAACATTGCAGTATTTTATAAAAAGCATGCAATGTATTTTACCACTCTCCACCCACATAGAAAACTTTATATGGTACTGCTCGAAATGTTTATAAAAAGTGCCGTACAAATTACCCATTAAATAATAAAAACCAAATGGTGAAAACTTTTTATGTCCCTCCAATTTGCATGTAAAATAAGTATTTTACATCATATCAAATGCATTATAAACTAGAGTATGCTCCAAAGTAGAAGCACAATGGGACATAAACTACAACTTTAAGGATGCAACAATTGAAAATTTCAAAAGTGTAGGGGAAATTACTGATTGAAAAAATTGCAGTAGATATTCGAACTTAGGTTAAAAAAACAGTGGAAAGTTAGAAGCTCCAATCCTCCATTATAATAAACGCAATCAAGATTCAATTCAATTAACTTTGAAAATTGCACGTCTTTTTTTCTAGGAATAAATGCACGTTTTAAATTCCATAACATCACAGATGTCCCATTCGGGATGGTTGCGACTTGATTGTCTTGAAAAATTAAAAGCAGCAGTTGAAATGTATCCAAATTCAACGGATTAAATAGTCGGACCAAATTTTTGGCATGATCGTTCATCCACCTACCCATGGAATTTCAATGTATGAAGTGTAAATTGTGAAATACATTTTGATAACTTCTGTAGAAGTTTAAATATTGTACAAAAACATTTTACCAACTTTTCTTATTTAGTTGTAAAAAACAACTAGTATCATTTTCATTTAAACTACTCCCAAAATGTCCTACTTCCCCAAAATGGAAATCCCTAAATTAAAATCCTATTTCTTTAATTTTCTTATTGGTAAACAAATCTAAACCAAACAGTGTCAAACAGCGTCAAAATAATGTCAAGTGCCAAACATTGTGGCTACAGTGTGAGGTCAAATTTATTTCCTTAATATGTGTGAAATCTAACTAGAACATTCTTTGGGGACGGTCGGATGGAGGAAGTACACACACGGGTAGCTCAGTTGGTCGAGTGGTGGAAAATTTGGATCAAGAGACCAAGATTCGAATCCCGCAGCGAGCGTGTGAAGGTTACAGAACCTCTAAAATATGTTGAACCTCTGGCGCACACAAGTATATCGGTCTACTGTCACTTTGTTGACTGAGTCACCGTGATTTACTCCTTCACCATCCTGTAGGGTCGGATGTGGACAGGAGCGGACCGTAGTAGAGACCCAAGGGGGCTACCGCCCCCAACAATTTTTTTTTAGGGTATATATATACGAAAAATAATTTTCGCTCCCTCAAAAAAAAATTTCGCCCCCCAAAAAATATTTTGAACCCCCCAAGATGGATTTCCTGAGTCCGCCCCTGGGTGTGGGGGCTCCTGGGGTGGAAGATTCCACCTTTTTTAAGGGGACGGAGGAAGTAATAGATATGTGATTAAGGTTATTCTATCATTTGTACAAATTTTAATCACACAATTTTAAATTTTTAATTTCACGTGCAAGTCAAGTTTGACCAATTTTTATGAGATAGAGAAATTATATTTTTTTCAAGAATTATATAATTATTAAAAGTCTAATACTACCTCCGTCCCATTAGAAGGTTCTCGTCCACTATTCACATGGTCAACTTAAATCATTTTTAATCTTTTACTTTATATATCAAATTTTTATCAACCTTACATTTTTTATCAGGCTTTGTAGTGGATTTAATGTAATTTCTGAATCTGTAAATTTTATTTACTAAAAATAATCAGAGTGTGAACAGGGATTAAATTGTTTTATCGTCAGTCAAGCATCGTAAACCGTCAACGGGAACTTTCTAACGGGACGAAGGGAGTAGCAAAAATGTTGTTAACCATTTGGATGTTTTAAATTTGATCCCATTTGAATCATTAGGGCCTAGTGTTTTCACGCGTAAACATGCGTCTTTTAGTATTGGCGATCAAAAGAAGAGTTGATTGATTTATTCACACCTATCTATTCTACTGGACATTTACTGCCGACACACTCCTGAACATCGCTTTATTAAAAAAAAAAGGATGACCCTGAGAGCCCCCAACACCGACCGTACGACACGATGGAAGGATGTAAATTGGACTATAATTACAATCTGACAGATAGAGGGTATGGTTCCGTCTCCGATACTTGCAGAGGTCTTATGCGTTTTTAGCATAGTAACCTCTCATCGCAGTTGTCGGGATTCGAACTCGTGACCTAACCCTTGTGGCACTCCCTCGCTACCAGTTGAGCTACACCCACCAATAAAAAAAGCTTATAACCCTTGTGAACATCACTTTATAAAATGCTACTGCCTATATAAGCTTATAATTCTACAATTAGGGTTTATAATTCTATAATTAGGGTATAATTAGGATCGTAAACGAATGAAATAATTTTAATTTGAATTGAAAAATATGAATTTGAATTAGAGTTAGTGGAATACAAATACAATTTTTTAATTCAAATAGTTTTCAAATAATAATACAAATATTTGATATTCGATTCGAACAATATTCGAATTATTCGAATTTATGTAGTAATATAAATATTCATACAATATGTACTATAAAATATCGATGTAAAAAAATATAATTAGTAGGTATTTATGTACACAAAGTAGTAGGTATTTTGCATATTTTAATTTAAGTGCTCTTAATTTACCATGTCAAAATAGCTTATATTTTATATAATTCTCTAAAAGTGACGTGTAGATATATATTTTTGGTATGAAATATGTATTATCAAAATGAGGTAAAAGGGGTAAACATTCGAACTCGAATAAGATTTGAACATTCGAATAAGATTTGAATATACCAAACAAATCGAATACGAATATAAAATAAGATTCGAATATTAAGTGAATACGAATAATATTGTCAAGTATCAGAATCGATTCACTTACGACTTTGCCTATAACCCGTAATTTTATAGATGGAACTAAAGAGGGGCTAGACGTCGCTAGAGCACCCTTAATTTTTTAAGAGTACATGTGTGTATAGCGAAATGGAGTAAGTATTTCATCATTTGCAATTAAGCCAAAGACACACTATTTTTTGGTTTGTGAATATGATGGAGTAAAGTGAAATGGCTCACTAAACTGTTTGCGCTTCATTGTTATGAAGCAACAGTCAGTTCATGCAATTTTTTATGCAATTTTCACTATGGGTCACCCAGAAACAGTCTCTCTGTGCTTTAGTACATGGGGTAAGACTGCGTACATCCGACCCCCTTACCTCACCGTAGGTGGGAGCCTTTGCGGCATTGGGGTAATGATAATAATGATGATGATGTGTGTGTATTAAGCTCCAGCCTCCTAAAAAAATATTTTTATCCGCATAAATCCATGCAAGATATATTTCCTCCATCCTTAAAATAACTTTTACGAAAAAGAGTCAAATAGGCCCTCGAACTTACATAAAAAGGTCAAATAAACCCTTATATGGGAGGCTCTGTCTGGCCGTCACCATTTGGGGCAGGCCCCGGTGGATTTTTTTGATGAATTTTTTTAGCATCTTATTCATTAAGTCTAGTTTACTCATACCAAATTTCAGCTAACAATTCAATCGTGAAGGCATTCAAATAAATTCTTGAAAATAACTGCGCTTTTAACTACGCAGTTATCTTCAAGAATTCATTTGAATGTCTTCCCGATTGAAGTTTTAGCTGAAATTTGGTATGATTAAACTAGACTAAATGAATAAGATGCTAAAAAAAAATCATCAAAAATTCCCCTGGGAACCGCCCCAAATGGCGACGGCCGGACAGAGCCTTCTATATAAGGACTTATTTGACCTTTTTATGTAAGTTCGAGGGCCTGTGAGCCTGTCTGACCTTTTTCCCTAACTTTTACTTACTTTTCTGGAATGCTCATAAATAGTCTTTTTTCTTGGTAAATGATTTTCTTTTAATTTACTCCACTAGAGATATGTCAATCGAGAATCCTGATCAATGTGGTTTAAAAGGACAATAGTTACAGAATTATTCCGACTCTAATAACCTTCATTCGCTAGTTGGCAGTAACATTATCCTTTTCCTGAGGCATAAATTAACCAAAATAGGTCTGCTTTTATTGGTTTTTTAGCTGTTCTACAAGTATTACGTTCATAATTCTTGGCTAAAAAAGTTTAGCTACCTGAGTGATGACTGAGGACTGAACGTCGGGCGGAAGCCGGGCAAAATCGTCAAACTTGGAGCCGATGAGTATCGGAATTGCAGTCTGCATTACAATTCCATCCAGATGTTTAGATGGACAAAGTTCATAGTTCATATATTGACTTTAACATAAAAGGATGAAGTTAGACGAGTTAAGTCGGTCTTTCATCATAATATAATTGATTGAATATGTGATTTGCATATCATACATATACAGATATACTAAAGGACTCCATACACTGGCCATTTAAAAGTTTGACTGCAACATAATAACTACACATAAATACATCCACACAACTATGTATATATAGCTCATAAAAGAAAATTGGAACTTCACACCATTTTTTCATCCAAATTTGAGTTTGAACTTTCTTATCAATATCATTATATTATATACACCCCACGTTAAAAAATCAGTTGATAATGGGATGCAAAGTTCGATATTGAAAGAATGACGGGTAAACTTTTCTTTTAGCGTGTAGAAAATAATAATTTTGAAAACAAAGTGCAAACTTGAATTCTGATTTTAAAAAAAATTGGAGTGCAAATTATAACCCTATCCCAGATTTGAAAACTTTGAATATGTGCGTATAAACTTTTGTATACAAGTATTTGATTTCTTTTATAGGTCCAGCCTAAATTGTAGACCAAGTCATTGTTTGTACTTTGTAGTCATTTCTTAATATTGCTTTAGGTGATGGACATGAAGATATGATTAAACATCTTCTTACTTGTAATGTTATTAGAGTCACATTAAATTAGATTAGACTTAAATAGATCGGAGTAAATACAAATATAAACATCTCTTTACCGCCTTCACAGGACATATGCAAATTAAATTAAATCAGAAAATTTCAGTTCAATTGAATTTTTTTTAATTGTCCGCACAAATTGGACAATAATCTAACTTTAGTTTTCTCAGTATTGGTAATTGATGGAAATGAATCTTATAATTATTAATTATTGATGTAACTAACTAACTCCCAAGTCCAATATGAGGAGCCTTCTTGGTTGGGAAAAAGATTCCCCAATTACCATTTTCTCCACAACAAAAACAAAACAATAAAGATGCTTGTTTCCCACTACAGCCTAGATCTATTTCCAATTATAAGCAAACAATAATGTGAAACACAAGCTTAGAGCAATTGCTCACCTGATTCCACTTTCTTGCTTCACTGTACCATCCTATTACACTGCAAAACCAATGAAAATAAAATTTATATTTGAAACTCATTTTAAAGATTCCTATTTTTATGACATTTACTTGAAACCCAAAAAAATAAAAGAAAAAACTCTAATACCTTCAAAAAAGAAGAAGTTTAAACATACCTATTAAGTGTGCATCTACTAGTAAGATCAAACATGAAGAGAATAGCAACTGCCTCATTGCAGGCGTTTGGAAGCTGCTCTCCTGCTCCATAAGTTTCAAGCACCAACAAAACAATAATCAGATTCCCCAATTTTGCAAATTTGTTATTTATCTCTGGGTTCTAATTATAAACTTAGATTCGTTTATAAGAAATTATTTAATGACAAAAACCTACCTATGGGTTATCTACACAAGTTGAGTTTTCTTTATGAAGTGCATTTTATTCTCCTTGAGTTAATTTAGGCATGGATACAGTTCTAATTCTAGACATCCGGACTGACATGTTTCTTAATCAAAATCTGGACCAGTTGATAGATCCTGAATCACTCAATCTGAATCTAGTTCTTCCAAATATGACTGAACAAACTGGTTCCGGTTCGGATACAGTTTCTTGATAATTACATAATCGGGAAGGATTAAGATCCAAAACTGTTTGTTCTAGCCGGTTTGCAGCCATACCAGTACTATAGATGGCCCGGACCCGTTTTGTACTACCCTCAATCTCACTATGTTTATCTCATTTTTCCTTTATTCTAATTCTTACTTTATTCACACTGCAAATTCAATACCACATAATTCAATCTGTCATCTGAATCAGGGATTCAGGGCTAACCTGTTCAATATCAGAACCTGAGCAGAATGGGTTTGTGTCCACATCTAAATTAAACTCTACTGAAATAATTCTTTACTACATTCACCTACATGAACCTCATAATATCCCAACAAGAATTTTATACACGCACCTTAGTTCACTCAAGTTTATCCAAAGAAGTTCATATGCATTTTTTTCCAGATGAAAGCAATTAAATATTCTGTTTTGGTTCATAATAAATGCAAATAAAAAAGAGGGAAAAAAACAAATACCTCCAACATCCCATATTCTCAAAGCAATCCTTGCCCCTCTGACAATTAATGTTTTGTCCATGAAATTTAATCCATTCATTTGAAGACACCTCATTTCTTGATCGTCTCCTACATACTTTGTCTAAGAAACGAATATTTGAACTTTGAAGGATTTCTTTATTTACGTGAAAGCTAAAATTGACAGATTCTTGAAACCAATCATAAAAAGTGACGCACCACAAAACTTGTTTTCCCAATCTGGGAATCACCCAATATACTGATCTTCAAGCTCACCAAATCTGATTCACTTTCATACCCACAGCGAATAGCAGTCGTGGGGGCATCTTCGATCACGACCTCCATGGATTCCGGCAATGGAGCAGCGCCTTCTCGGCCGGCTATTCTCCGGTACCGCTCCGGCTTCTGGGTGGAACAAATGAGCAGTCTTTCCCAAATGAGCCGAAAGAAATCCTTGAGATACGAAACTCTGTCCACTAATCTCCACCGGAAGTTGAAGTCCACGATTTTCCGGCAAAGCTTTGTCATCTTTCCGGTGGCCTCATGGATTTGGTGAGACATCACAGATATATACTTGGCTTGAAAACAATGATTCTTGAGCTCTTCTTACTCACTCACTATGTCATTTGTAAAGTAAAGTTTTGGCTTTGGGAGTGATTCTTTTCTGTTTTTAAAATTATTAGTACGGAGCTTTCGGTTGGCCGGAGGAAGGGAGATGCCTAATGGTCCAAGTTGCCGTATTTCTTTCTTTGTTTCTTGGTTGCACTAGTCAATGGAATTAGGCTCTACTTTTGAGACATCATACAGTGATTTCACTCGAGTTTGGGCAGCAAACTGATCGGGCAAACTTTTTCTAAACAATCCATTGAGATGTTGGAACCAAACGGTCTGGCTAAAGAGTCAAATAGGTACATCAACTAACTTAAAGTGTTCAATTAGCCCCTTATATAGGAGATTCTGCCCGACCGTTGCCAATTGGGGCGGTTCCTGGCAGAATTTTTTGATGAAATTTTTTGAGCATCTTCTTCATTAAGTCTAGTTTACCCATACCAAATTTCAGCTAAAAATTCAACCGGGAAGGCAGTCAAATGATTTTTTGAAGATAACTCCACAGTTAAACAACGCAGTACATTTCGGAAAATCATTTGACTGCCTTCCCAGTTTAATATTTAGCTGAAATTTGATATGGGTAAACTAGACTTAATAAAGAAGATGTTCAAAAAAATTTATCAAAAAATTCAACCGGGAACCGCTCCAATTGGCGACGGCTGGGCAGAACCTCCTATATAAGGGGCTAATTGAACACTTTAAGTTAGTTCATGTACCTATTTGACCCTTTAGCCGTCAATGAATTGGTAGATCGGTATATACCTAGAAATTGTGTTGAGGTAGTACTAGTACAGAGTATATACCTTGGTAACATTAAAATTGGTTGAATTGACCGATTCTGTTGAAATTTATAAAGTTCGGACTCAAATGGCTATATTGGCTAATTCTGTTGTTTTATGAAATAAAATCATTTCAAATATTTGTTATTAATAAATAAAATAAAAAATTATATGAAAAAATAGCTAAAATGATACTTCACAGTAATTTCAGCCAATACAGCCATAAAAGTAAATTCAACCTTATTTTTTCTTATTATTACGTCATTCAACGCGCGAAATCAACAGTTACGTGTTTGGTGAAAAAACTGACTGATAAGTCTGATAAGTCGAAAAAAGAGGCTATCAAAAGGGCTCATTGTTTACTTCCATAGTTCCATTTATTTCAATACATATAACGCTAAATTGGATTAACTTCAGAATAATTGTTAACGAGTAGGGCTGAACCCGAATGTACTGAGTTTGAGTTCGGCTCTCAATCTAAAAAGGTAAAAAATGCTTTCTCCATGTGCCCCACAATCGAGCAAGAGTGGTAGATGGATAAATTACGATAAAGTTTCAATGTTGAAAGACGTGAGTAGTGTGTGATGTGTTGCGTACAAGGAGTCAAAGCATTAGATGAAACTTTAAACTCCATCGTAGAGCCTTAGCTTGAACTTGTACTTCAACTCATGTGCTCACACCAAACCCGACAGAGTGGCAGATGGGTAAGTTATGCTATGATTTCACAATTTCATTTGTTGAGGGAGGTGGTCTGATGTGGTGCATATAAAAAGCCAACACACCGAATGAAACTCTTACACTAATGTGTAGATACTTATACCTATGTTTCAATCCAATTGCCTCTAGGGGTGGGCTGGTCACCGCTACTCGATCAAGACCGACTTGGTGGACGGCGGGCTTGGGACCTGTCGGACGTAGGGTTGCAAATCTAATAGGTTGGGTCGGGTTTGCTATATTTTTGGACCTACCTATATGCAATATAAGTTGTTAAGTCATACATGAACGGGTCGGGTAGGGTTGGGTATTGAAAAAAAAATCACTTCGAGTTGGATCTTTAATGTGGGCAACTAATGAAGCCAATTTGAAACCCAGTTAACTTGTTTCCAAAATACACAAACAAATACAAGTATGTTTTATAAGCATAAACTTTTGCAAGGTATTTGAGTTTTAAAATTTAATGTACTTTTTAATTCATACTAAATAATATATGATTAATTAAGCCTCTAATGCTTACATTAATCAAAATACAGTGTTTGTAAGAAAAAGATACAAAGTATAAAATTAGAAGCTAAAAAATAGGGAGTAAATAAACACCGGTAGTTACAAGAAATGATCCTCATCCTCTCAAAAATATCACAAAATAACAAGAATAAATATAAAAATTAAAAGTTAATTAATGGACTATGAATAATCAATTTGTGATGAAATGTGGTGTTCTGATATCATTTGGTCTTTTCATGATATATACTTGTACTATGTGGTGAACTTTCCTGATCTACCATATCAAAATCTCCACTTCTTATCAAAAATATTTTGCACATTGCATTAATTTCTACATACTTTTATCAACTTCGTCACTGATTTTGAGCAGGTTTTTCTGGCCATTTCTGAAGTAGAAACTTGGATGGTGGCGACGTGGCGTAGAAGGTGACACATTTACTTGTTTATCTTCTTCAGTTGCTTCCATTGTTTGACCATGAGGCGTTGGGGTTGAATTTTATAAACATGTTGCTCTTCTATCTTGTGACTCTCAATCTCCATTTTGAATGTATATGTATAATTACTTACATAAAACACAAGTAATTATAGCTATTATCATAGAATAAAAAGTCAACTTAGTTGGAAGTTTTGGGTTACCTATACAAAAATGTTAAGTCATCCAAACTGTAGAAAATTATATATTATGAAAGACACCACAAAAGGAAAAAGAACAACATGAATTGTGAAATTGGACCCCCCTTCAAAGTCCAATCCTAGCACATAAAATAAGACCCTAAGCTATTATCGCATGATAGAAGCATCACAAAAGACTTAAGATTTATAATTTCATATTCATTAACATTAAAAGGGTGAGAAAGAAGCATCACACCATCATACTAACCCAAGGTGAATGCAAAGGAAAGACGATTTTTGAAGACATGTAACAAATAAGCTCTAATCAAACCAAGACAAGCAAAATACTTGATCCATCAAACACTCTTTGCTAGTGAAAAACTGTTTAAACAACCTTGAAGTTTGTTTTGTGATGAAGGCATGATGTTGGCCCATTTGCATTGAACATGATGTTGGTAGATTGTCTACTCAAAGAACATATAAGAGTGAAATAAACAAGTTCACACTTCACACCACCTGACATCATTATTCTGTTTACTTTCATCACTAACACTCGATAAATCTATTACTACATACGTAGTATACATCGTAGGTGGGAGCCTTTGCGGCACTATGGTGATGATGATGATGACACATCACACACAACTCATAGATACTTTAAAAATATATTAGTCCACTCTCAAAGATCACCGAGCACCAATATATGAAGTTGAAAAGTTTTATAAGCGTGTAATTAAAAATATATGTAATAGTAAAAGGAATAACAAGAATCTGAGAAATGAATGCAAATTATTCACCCTTTAGGCTGTTTTGAAGTCTACGACTCTACGAGGAGTGTCATAGCTAATTAAATTTCCAATTACTTATTTTGTTCAAGTAAAAGTGTGAAAAGATGATTTCGTTAATTGAATTACAAAGTTTTGCAATAACTTGTTAGAATTAACCATGTAAGCGGTGTCACAAATGCAACTGTGCATTAGGTATGTTTTCTTGATGCAGGCGCGCTTTTAAAGTAATTGTGCAAAATAATTATGTGATATGTCACATTATAAACTCAATAAAGATATCATTAATGTTGTAAAAAGTATTGACGTATATGCATGTGTGCATAGTAGTTTCTTTCTACATATTAATGTTTTTTTGAAAGCCCTACATATTAATGTTGTGCAAAAAAATGCACAAAATATTAATTTGATGATGTATTAAATCGCAAATACTCAAAATTGAATATTATAAATTTTTAAAAAATGTATTGTCACTCTTTTTGTGTGGCTTACAAATTTAACTTCAAACTCCCTACTTTTCTTTTCATCCTTCAAAATGCCTAATTGTTTTTCCTTATGTCACTCCCCTTTTGTGGTTTAAAATTGCTTCATTTTAAACGAAATTTACCTCCCAAATAAATTCCTATTCATACGCATCATGAATGGTAAAGGGTTTCTCACAAAGTAGGGTTAATAGCCAACAACTTTATTTTTTACTTTTTGTGTGTATAAATAAACATCAAAACACATGTATTTTCTACCCAAACACACATATATCTTTCTTCATTTGAATTTGGTAAGTTTGAATAATGAGTGTAACTTTTGTTGATGGTCTTGCGGTGGAGGCATTTGTGAATGATACCAAACCTTTTAACCATTGGGTCGATGAAAAGTTCGAATCACTTGATCTAGATAACACAGGAGAGTTGTCACGCGAAGCATTAGAAAATAGGCAAGGAAAGTTTGGATCACAGGAGTTTGAGTTGCAATCTCGAAATGAGATACATAATTTGTACAATGCCATTTTTGAGAGATTTGATGTGGATAAAAATGGAACCATTGATCGTGAAGAATTTAGAGAATTGATGAAGGAGATAATGTTGGCTAAGGCACGTTGTATAGGGAAATCACCCGTCCTCGTTATTCTTCAAAGAGATAGCTTGCTTATGAGAGTCGTTCAACATCTTTCTGATAGTAGATAGAAAAAAAAAATCTTCACTTGCTTTAGATGTTAGAGAAGCAGATTGTATATGTTTTACGTTTTACGCATATACTTCACAAAATTTAGAGGATACAGAGTGAATCCAAAATCTAATTCTTAATCGTGATATATGATACATCTAGCATGTCATATGATGTTTATGTTGTTTAGGACTTGTAGAATGCAAATTATACAAAGGGATTGGCACACCATGCACCTGGTATGCCAATCCCACTAATCCTTTATTTCCCTGCACGTACGCATATCATTTCCTTTCCTCTGTTCTTCTCTTTTTATCTTCAATTTCTACAATTCTTTTTTATTCTCCATCAAATACTAAAAATGTAATTACAATTTTACTTTTCTTGATCTTCAATTTAAATTACAACTCAATCTATTTCTTATTCTTTATCAATTCATAACAAAAATATAAATCTAAGTAAAATAAGTGCATTACCGTTCACATTCATGCGCTATTTTTATTTCTATAATATTTTTGTATTATATATATTTTCCCTATATTTTTGGTATGATACGCTTTTTTGTAATATTAATCTAAATAAAATAAGTATATTACATTTCACATTCATACACTATTTTTATTTCTGTAATTTCTTTTTTGTATTATACACTTTTTGTAATATTTTTTTCGTATTCATACACTATTCTCTATAATATATTTCTTACATCTTTTATATATTATTAGTGTTCTTAAGATAATATATTTGTTTATTTGGATTTACATTTGATAAAATGTAATATTACATCTTCGCGTGTGTGAGTTATGTTTATAGACAATTTCCGGAGTTACATTTGATAGTATATGGAGTTACATCTTCTTGTGCACGAGTTTGCATTTTTTATGTGTGAGTTACATTTGGGTATGCCTCAATAAGTTATATTTTGCATACACTTAAGTTAAAATTTCCATCAATGCGAGTTACATTACAAAATATACCCATTCTATTGAAACAAAAAAAATCTTTTTTATGCAAAAAAATGTTTTTTCTTTTGGCAAAAAGATGATTTTTCTTTAAAACATATTTATAGCCTTAGTATTACAAACAAAACATATTCACTATTTATGTAAAGTAATTGAGCGATTGGACTCCTTGTTTTCATTGTTTACATTGAAATCAATGTTTTAATTTTTATACTCTGACACTCTGTATTAGACAAGTTATATTTGACTTGTTTGCAGTTACATTTTTTATCAGTGTGAGTTACATTTACTTACACGCGAGTTACATCATTCGCCTACTAGGATAAGAAAAACACAAAAAAATGTTCACACATGTTTTGAGTTGTGCGAGTAGCATGATCATTGTGGGCTGCCCCCACGGTATAGCAATGCTTGTGGCATCACTAACGAGACAAGAAGGATGTTGTTTGTAGTTATTGATAGTGCCTAAGGTCTAGTAATTGAGCCTTTGGTTTGATGTACTCTCTCGTGCCCCATAAAACTTGTTCAAATTAATATTTCTTGGTCAATGATATTAAAGTTTAAACAATTAATTTATATTCTCCGGTATCCCATTTCTTGGTCATTAATTTAGAAGATAACGACCAATACAACAATACTCGTTTATAATGACTTATTGTATTTAGAAGATAAAAATTGCTATGTGTAATTAATAAAATACTTTCATTTCTTTGTTATGAGATACTTGGTGTGTATGATATACACAACCCCTGGTATAACTCGATAAGGTGGATTGTGGTTGCCCCTAACAAGTTATACATCGGTTGTCAACATCACCGATCTAGATCGTGACAACATGCCGCGTGAACAAAATGTATTCTCTTTTACCTTTTATTTGCTTTTAAGTGCAACATTCCCTTTTTCATGTTTGCTGATCGATACACAATTTTGACCAATAATATACTTAATTCCTTATTTGTAAAAAAATTAAGATTTCAAAATTTTGCAATGAGAAAATTTTAATATTTTTTTTAAAATGAATTTTTAATGCATCAATAAGTAAAATGTAGTTAGAGTAAAACTTGTGATCGAATAATATAAATTTTAATATGTTGCGCTTATTTAAGAACAAAACACGTATATGATAGCTTTGACATATACTGTGACATGGTGATGACATGATGACTACCTTGCACTCTCTGTAATCATAATTTATCTTTTTAAATAAAGTCTCATTTTTTTCATTTGGAAATAAGTTTCTATCTACTCACTCTACTTCTCTTAAACAATACTCCCTCCGTATCAGTTTTATTGTCCCAGTAAGATTTTGTAGTAGTTTAAGAAAATTTATAGGTTTACTGTACATTTTTTGAAAAAGCAGGAGTATTTAGTATTGTAGCAGCACTGTAGCTGCTTTTTGAGTGGATTTATTTGCAAAAATAGAAGTGAGACAATCATTTTGATACACCCAAAAAATGAAAATGTGACAATTAAAGTGATGCGGAATGAGTAATGACAACATAGTTCAAATAATGTTAAATGCTTTCAAAGTAGTGTATTATGTAGTACTATATCCGTGCACTAACATTGAGACATGGGAATGTGATGTAGTTATAAAAATTGAGTTAATGTGATTGATATTTAATTGATCAAGTAAGAATAAAATAAGATTGTTTTAGAACCATATAGACTTTATCAAATTTACTATGAGAGAATCTTAGTAGAACAAATTAAAAAGAAAAGATAACCTTAGTGTGACAAAGAAAGTAAAACTCTGAACATTTCAAAACTCAAAAGGAAAATACTCATTTTGTGAAGATGCATGCTCTTTTTAATTCAAGCAAGTATAAATAGGGACGAAGGGAACAATAATTTACAATTCAAAGGTCTCTTTGAATGAATAATGGATTGAGTGGTCCAATAATATAATTGCACAAGGCTGGAGGACTATTTTCTCAAAATAATATGAGTGCTTATCTGTGCTAATGATATTTACACATTGGAATCAAAATATGATTATTAGTATATGCTTAAAAGGAGTATTGGTCAATATCTTCTAAATACTCAAGTAAGAAGAAAGATTCTCTACAAAAGAATGTATTTGGAATATCTAATTCTGATCAGGAAGAATGAGAATCACAAGCAATACCAATAAAAAAGATAATGATGACCAAATCCATCCATCACTGTCATTTGGAACTTTGGAAGGGAGAGTGGAGTAAAACCTTGGCTTAACAGAGCTATCCTATATAGCGGGTGAGATCATCGACACAACAAAACAAATTCACTCCTTTACAACTCGTCGAATCATCGTCCTAAACCTTTTGCACCGCCGGCCATGGAAGTTCCCTTCAGGATCCTTTTCCTGATCGCAATCCTCTCACTTTCTTTGTTCGTCACACGGCACGGACATGGCTGGAAGCAGGCGTTTCGGCCATCTGACCTTATTCCGCTCATGCCCTACCAGCTTTCGCGGCCTATCATGAACTCTCTCCACGGTGCAGCGGACCTCTTACCCGCCTTCATGGGCGCTGCTCCGATCTCAGGGAACGACACTCTCGAGTGGAAAGGGACCTGCTTCTACAATAACTCTGCCTGGTTGGAGCTCCACAATAAGAGCGGAACTCCTTATGGTGGAGGCACTCTTCATATCAAGGTATGAAGTTCTTTAGGTTCTCCCGTTTTGGTCCACCATCTTTGCTTGTTTTAGTTTGGGACTTTGTTTGTGTATGTTTTTGGGAAAATGGAAACTAATAATCCAACTTTTACAGGTCTTCTTTCAATAATCACACCTTTTGATTATTCATGAATAATCCGACCTTTGCACCTCATCTTCATTCGTTGGTCCCTGGTGGCTTAATCACCTACTATTCCAAGTTATTTTCTTATCTTTCCAAAATATTATCTTTGTGAAAGATGAGATTTATGGTATAATGATTTGCAAAGATAAGAAAATAGCTTGAAATAGCAGGTCATCAACCGGTCAGGGACCAGTGAATGAAGATGAGGTGCAAAAGTTGAATTATTCATGAATAATCAAAAGGTGGGATTATTGAAAGAAGACCGCTAAAAGGTTGGATTATTAGTTTCCATTTTCCCTATGTTTTTTCTTGATTGCTTAACTGCTTTGAATTTGGTGTTGGCTTTTTGTGCAATTTTCATTTTTATCCTCTTTATTTAAGGCAATTTTAAGAAAGGGTTTGGATTTGAACATCCATATTTACATTTTAAAAAGTCATAATAGTATCTTGTCTTCTAACTTTTTAGGATATTTAATTATTTACTGTGTGATACTCCTCTGTCTCCGGTAAAGGTTCCATTCGGTTTGATTTGCCATAAAGTTAACCAATTCCCATAAATAAAGTTCACATATTCTGATATTCAGAAACTACATTTAAAGTTTATAAATGCGCAAAAAACTAAAATAATGATAAAAGATAGATATACTATCGTATAAATTAAAAATTAAGAACAATCTGCGTTGACCGGAGAATAATGGACGAGAACTTTTACCTCGGATGGAGGTAGTACTAAGTTTTCTGAAGAAAGAGTTCTGTTGTCTTTAAACTATTATTATCATTATTTATTTGTGCAGTCTTTCAATATGAACTCTATTCATTGATCAGGTAAGCAATGCACACAGCTGGACATGTATGGATCTTTATGTCTTTGCAAGCCCGTACCGTGTAACATGGGATTACTACCTTTTAGCCCGAGAACATACGCTTGAATTCGATGCATGGGAATCAAAAGCCGAGCTAGAATACGTGAGTAGACTTCTATGAAATTACGTTCATTATTATATGGTATCATTAATTCATTATTAAACATAAGTAATAGGTTAGACTAATGGACTTTTTGAATAATATCAATGGCTATAGGTAAAGAAGACTGGGATTTCAATTTTTCTCATGGAGGCAGGAATGTTAGGAACCCTTACTGCACTATGGGAAGTCCTTCCTTTATTCACAAACACTGGTTGGGGCGAGAACTCGAACATTAATTTTCTCAAGAAACATATGGGAGCTTCATTCGAGAAGCGCCCTCAGCCATGGATGACGAACATTTCTACTGATGATATACATTCAGGAGATTTTCTTGCAATATCAAAAGTTAGAGGCCGCTGGGGTGGTTTTGAGACTTTGGAGAAGTGGGTAACTGGTTCTTATGCTGGGCATAGTGCTGTTTGCTTGAGAGATTCTGAAGGAAAGCTATGGGTGGGTGAATCTGGAAATGAAAATGATGAGGTAATGCTTTACATGA